TTTGCATGAAACTTAGTTCCCTATATAACACATTGGAAACCCTTGCATATAGAAGTACATAGCATCGTACCTTAATTTATAGCCTTCATAGCTATTAGTTTAATAGGGGTCAAATGACAATCCAATCGGTTTATTGTTTCTAGGTTAAGAAAGTTATAGGTAGAACTTGAATCCACCAAGATGTCATCAACTTCTTATTCAACTACCCTAAAAACCATAAGGTCTTAAACCCATTACACCCTTCCAATACATTCATAGAAATATGAAATGGGGAATCCTTTATCAATTCTTTAGCACTCGTTTTGACCCCCATCTTGGTCCTCATCTTCAATGTCATCATCAATAACTTGGACAAAAAAAAATAATCTTTTCTGTTTACATCTATGACTCGGGATATATGTTTCGTCATACAAGAAACATTGATTCTTAGCTCTTTTTTCTTCAAACTTTTTATTAGTTAACTTTCTTGATTGGAAGTTACATTTTTAGGTATTTGGTAGGTTGTGTGGAGTAAATGGTAAAAGGTTTTATACTCGGTCTAATGTTTGGTGTAAATCTAAAGTTGGAAGGTAAAGGTTTGTTAAGGTAGGGGTAGTTGGTTTTGGGTATTGTTTCTTATTGTATGGATTTGTATTATCTTGTTTCCAAGCTAATTCATAAACTCTAATTAGAGACCGAGGTTCAAACATAGACATTGGCTCTTAAACGTTTTCTCTTAAGCCAACCAAGAACATGCTAAGAGTTTATTACTCGTTAATGGTAGTCCTATTCCATAAAACATCAAACTCACGTATATAAGTTTGTATATCGAAGTTTTAGTAAGGCTTTTTAACCGATCCAACAAGTCTAACTTAGCACCAAACCTCGCTTATTATTACAGACTACACATTCAGACTTATATCGACCTTCTTTCTTAAGCTTTGAGTGTAAGCTTAATGCCAATAAATGGCTCGCCTTCCAAGAAAAAAAGGAATGCTAAACCTTTTTCATATTCATCCAACTATTTCAAAGAAATGATGACATCTATACAACCATATGTTAATCATCTATACAACCATCTATTAATATCATCTCCATCAAAGGTAGGGAAATCTTTCCTTGGTTTATTTGGTTTGCAGTAAGGGTTCGAATTTAGATATGGGTTATTGGTTGCGTATTGGTTATTAATGCCTATTTTTGAAAAATGTTTTAAGTCTAGATATGGGTTATTTAGTTTGTATGGATGGTTGGTGAAGGATGGTTGGTAGGGGTGATTCAAAGTTGCAAAGTGGTATGGGTAGAATAAGGTTTATATTGATGGGTGAGGATTGAGTACCTTGATGGTATGGATGTGGTTCAGTACCAAATGATGTTGGGTTGTTGGTCGAAGTAGACATTAAAGCATTGGTCAAGGTTTTTGGCTCTACAAAACACTCCTCTTGTTGTTTGTGCACCATCTCTTATTTTCTAGATTGCTCTTCATACTTCGAGTCATTTCCTCAATTGTTGTAGTAGTTTCTAACACTAATGACCTCGCTAATTCTTCTAGTTTATGCAAGTCATCAATTTTTGTATTTTTAGCCATGGAAGCAATACTAAGAAAGGCAAAGCTCGATACCAAATGATAAGGTTGTTTTGTTTCTTGGTGAAAAAGACAAAATAAGGAAGACAATAGAGGAAGAGAGAGAGAAAGAGGATAGAAATATTGATAATTCATATATTGTACTATTTTGTTATAAAAATAAGAATATATATCTTGTTTCTTTGTTGTTTTCTTGATATCTCATACTAAGAGGCCAACTCCAATGACTAATATAGGATAGCCTATTACTAAAAACAATAACTTGATGAGCCCAATGAAGCTCTAATCCTTTAAAACCTAATTAAAAAAAAAAATCCCAATTCAATTTAAGACATTCATTTCTCTTAGGTGCTACTTCATATATCATCAGCTAGGATCGGATCTTAAATTAACAAAGGAGAAATATTGTTAATCAAATATTCCAAATTAAACGTAACCTAAATTCAAAATGAAAATACACATTAATAGAATTATAAAAAGAACATGCAAATAAAGAAAACCTTTAATCAAGCATACATGTAAACTAAAACAAGTTAAAAATGTAATCAGTAACATTAATCCAATACCCAAACATAGGGAGAGATATTGAAAGAAAATTAAATACCTAAGATGAAGTTCGCCCAATCCTTCAACCAAAAACCAAAAGGACTTTTCCCTTAATTCAAAGTTCTCTAGACTTGAATCTAAATCACAGAGTTAATAAAATCAAGTAATAGATTGATAAACCGAGAGAGAGAGAAAGTATGAAAAAACTAAATTTAGTGAAAGAAAGAGAAAGCGTAAATCTAAAAAAAAATAAAAAGAAGGGTTTCGCGGGTTAATAAAAAGACTTCATTTTAAAAAGGAACTTAAAATCCTTATATTTATTGGTTTTAAATCATTGCATAAAACTTCGGTATGATATGATTTAAATAAATTACAGCTTTATTTAAAACAAATATAACAATTTTGGCAACATTTACGTGAATCAACGTGTTAAATTATAATTTCACTATAACAGCTTTAAATTATTGCAAAACTACTACCATAAATTGATGTTAGCAACAAGTTTAGAATCGATGCCTAATTTTCAAGTTTAGAATGGCATCAAAGCTAGTAAGAAAAAATCGTTATAGGGGTCATCCTTCACCTCAAAAATTGGCTTGTTGTTGTATTTATTTATTGAGGTTGGAATTGTCAATGCAAGCACCAAAGAAGTTGAACTCTAAATCTTTCATTGTTACAACCGCCACACCTACTAAGATATATATATATATATAAAGAAAAAACCTTTTTGTAGGAAATTGTTTTCCTAAAGAGTTATGGTTTAGACTAGTATTTGCAAGATGAGAGCCAAAGGACATGACAAGTTCACGTGGGGTTAATAGAAAAAAGAATTACATGTGTATTTAAGAAAGACTTGACCAAATTCTATTCCTCTTGTGCTCTATAATAACATCCTCTTTTCTATTCAACACAAACAAGTTGATAAGGCAATAAAACAATCAAATGTCCCAAAAGTACTTGTGAATTTAATTAATGTAAAGAAAAAAATAATGCAAAAATATTAGCATTATTCGTCTCTTGTTATAAACAAAAACACCTATGATTAGAGGAACAAACTTAAGACGCTCAAAACAATGGGCACGAAATTCATCAAAGTTGTTTTCAATATCAAAATCTATATCGAATAGTCATTTCTTGTCTTTTTTATAATTCGGACTATAAGCAAAATTAGATTTTATTATTATTTGTTAAATAATGAGGCTCATGACAAGCTTGCAAGCGAGTTAATGTACATTAGAAGGCTCATGACTAGCCTATCGTACTCTTCATTATTTACTTGGTATGCAATGAGAAACTCATGACAAATCTACCATAATCATTGTCGGATTATGTTTTCTAACTTTATTTATTTTATTTTATTTATCTTGCTATATATGATTACACGAATATCCTTCTTAACAAGACTCGTTCGTGCACATGGCTAAATGTATAAGCTCAATTTGTTCGTAAAAAAATAATTAAGAATTTAATTAATTTTATTATGCATTAATCAAGTTTATTCTTTGGCTTTGATGTGGGTCCAAGATATATAACAAAATAAATTAGATCGAAGATGGACCTCACTAGCATAAGATTTTGAATCATAAGCATGAACACATGTATTCGACAAGACTCGTCCAAGTCTTGTCATTGGAATGCATTAGGGAGATTAGTTTGGTGAGTTCGGAGAAGGATCCGTTAAAAAAAAACCCTAATTATTACTTTCTTTAGCCTTTGGTAACAAGTTGAAACAAGTTAGCTTAAAAAGCCTAAATTCTTAAAGCCAAATTTGATAGTCCAAACTTGGATGATGTGGCATAATCATAGCGATCAAGTATCATTTTCTTTCACTATAAATACCAACTTTATATCATTGTGAGGAGATTAAAACTTTTGTAAGTGACTTTAGAACCGTTGATCTCCAGTAAAAGAAGCTCCTAAACTCTCTATCTCAAAATTCTCTCACTTACATATCGGATAACACCTAAAACTCTATTTGTTCGAACTTTGACTACCAACCCGTCGCCCACTTAATTTGTGTCTCGTTAGCACTGTCCGCTTCTCCTCTCACACCTCTCTTTATTTGCATTTTTTCTACTTAGTTGATTGACTTGCTTCTACAAATTATAACATTGCTTTTCTACATCTTAATTGACCCGTCGACTTGGTCATCTAATCAATTCTTAAAAACTCCCGCACAAAACCTAGCAACCAAAACTTACAAGTTAAAATGCATAAAAAGCACTTGAATCACTAAAAAGAATAAAAGTAGCAAAATGCAACCCAACTTAGCAAAGTTCTTATATTGGATCTATGACTAAAATAGAGAGCGGGGAACTTGAAAAGCGATTATAGTAGCAAAAAAAACACTCAGCTTTTTTAGAAAGAGAAAAAAAGTAGAAATCCCTAATTTTTTTAGACTTACAACTGTAGTATGATTAATTCTAGAGAGAGAGAGAGGGGGGGGGGGACATGATTTCATAGTTAAATTAGGTTTACTTTTTTTTTTGTATGCTTTGACAATTTTCTATTATTTTTAGTGATTACTGACTTTAGATAATGATTAAAAAATAATAATGACGTGAGCAATTGAACTTACATGCCAAAAATATCTTAATCTAATAAGTTTTAAACAAAAACCATTTTGATAAATAAGGTTTTAAAGTACCCAGTTTAGTAAAATAAAAAAATCGCTTAAATATGTTTTAAAATAATAATAATAATGATGAGTCGATTAACAAAAAAATAAGAGTTTGCAACGCCATGTATATACTTGATCAATAAACACAAAACCTGTAGCATGGTAGAACACGGTGGGGTCAGTATCAAAATTGATAGAAAAAGAAAAAGAATTCATCTGGTGTGCATCAGGGAAAATCACAGAAATATTGATTCATGTTGAACCATTTGAAGATTAATCAACGAGTGTAAAACCTCTATTTATATAATGCAAAAAAGAGAATGGTAAGTTGAGAACATTTTCAACCTCAAGGGATTTAGATATGATACCATTCATAATGAAATCCCTACTACAGTGCCTAGTATCCATCCCAATACCTCTGCATATAACCAGAGATGCATTGCACACCCAAGGGACTCCAACAATGAATCCTACACCAGAACCTTCCTTTCCGTTTCCTAAGAGAACACTCTTGTATGCTCTGCAAACTTTAGAAACATGCTTGCCCATTGGTAAAAGTTGCTGATAATAATGAGAAATGGATGGATCAGCACTTAAGGCTTCTGAGTCGGAATGAAGGTTCACTACAACAGTTCCATGTACTGGGTGCAGCCGATTGCTGAGAGCTTTAAGAAATGGGGAATCTGGGTCCCAAAGCTTGCAAGGGAAGATATCATCACCATCGTAAGCATCAATAAATATCATGTCATACGTATTACTGGTGTTGAGGACAAACTTCTCGGCATCTGATTCGTAGAGGTAAAGTCTCTCATGGATGCCTTTCCACAGCACTTCATCAATGGGATTAGGCTTTGATAAGGCACGCTGACCTGAGGAGGTCATAACTGAGAAAGCTGGGAAACCCATTGCTCGAATTGAAGCGGAGATAACAACGGGATCAATTTCAACTATGTCGATAACGGCACCTGAAGAGAGAACAGAACTTCAGTTGTGTTCATAAGGGATTCATAATCAATCATATTCTATCTCACATTAACAGTGTTTCTAGCACCAACAACAATAAAGAGGCACAATTTTTAAACAAGAAATGCAGCATGAATGCTACAGGAACACTAATTTCACTTGCTTTGACAATTGGGATTTCATTTCTCTGCCTCGGGCAATGAAAAATGATAAGCACATTTAGAGTAGATCATACTAAATAATTAGCACTTGACCTTTCTTGTGTTAGATTCTATCTAGCTGGGATTACGTCATATGCAGAAAAAAATCTCCTTTGTTCATCATTCATTTCCATGATCAGCTTCTCAAAAGTTCATCTACAATTTCTCTCTCCTAAATGCTGCACACTAAGACACAAAGAGAAGGTACGATACTTCCACAATGCATTCTGCAATACAGATTAGACAGGGTTTTGGTTTGCGAAAACTCATACCATATTGTTAGATCAGTCAGGGAAGTGATTTTGATTATGGTAATAAGCAGCTTGTAAGTTGCATGTATGTTTAGGGCTTTGGGCTCCCCACTAATTTTTGAGGGGTAAACAAGTTTACTTTTCAGCACTCCTTGACTAACTACCAAACTACAATAGTCTAAATTTCTTCACCTGCTTGAGCCCAAAATTCAACCTACTAACAAAATGATGAAACTCTGTGGTCGTTTTGGCATGCATTCATAAAATTATAAACATCTGTCTTTAGACCACACTACGTTAATGTTTTAAAGTAACTAAGATAAAAAGTAGGAAAACAGCATGCTACATGACTGACTAGTAGTTTTGTGATTTTTTATAACTATAACAGAAAAGCTTCTATGGGATAATTAAAAAAAAAAAAAAAAAGGCACAGCAGAGAAACATACACCAAGGAAATGGCCATCTCCTACCTTGAATTTTTCTAGCCAAAAACAATGGTAAGCTTCCACCACCATTACCAATGCATAAAATGCGCATTGTTCTCTTTCCATATATAGCATCCAAAAGGTCATGGTTACAAGATGCTATAGTAGCCAACCCAACTGATACCATACTCTTTAAATCTACGCAACAACAAAAGATGAATAAAAAATTAGCCAACTAAAAAAAAAAGAAGCTTTTTGGGATAATTACAAGGCTTAAAGCATCATCAGTAATATGACATAGACACCACCTAGTTTAACTAACAGTCTCAAAACAATGATAAATATGTAAAGAACAATCTTAGATTACAATGAGAAGGAAAATCAGACTATAGTTTCCAACACCCCTCCCCCACCAAGAAGCAGGCATCAAAATCAAAGCAAGAAGCATGCTATTCTGCATAAGAACTGCCTGGAAAATTGTACACAGAAGAGTTACCCCAGTTCAGGGAATCATTACTACATGCTAAATTGTGTTACTACTTACTAAGGACATTCACCAAGTAAAATAAAAACCTATATAATCAGTACAAAACAATAATCATTTCCAACTCCATGATCACATAATAACAAAAGAAGATTGCGTTCAACAGGGCTGCCCACACCTTCTTAGTCCTAATGAAGGAATAGATAGATAGATCTTAAGCCCTAATGAAGGAATAAATAGACAGATCTTAAGAGTCCTAGGTCAGGTAGTTAGTTACTAGCAAAACAGCAGACATGGAAGTGAAACCCTAAAACAACTTCAAATCCAAAAGATCTGCCTATATACATACTATCATGCGAGAAGCACTATAATAAACCACAGAGGCAATTGGAATTAGTGAATGAAAGTATTATTACAGAGAGAAAGGAAAGCAAAGGAAATGAAATTTACATGGAACAGCAAGACAAAGAGGCTGCTGCATTAGGAATATAGAGTCTGCAGCTGAAGGTTGTGATTCTTGTCGATGATAAGCAGCCATTACTTTAACAGCACTCTGTCGTGTTTCGTCATTAAAATGAAGCGTCCGCCATTGATACCCTAGTATCCTAAAACCTCCTGCTACTTCTCCGTTATTATCATTCTTATGTATCTCCTCTGCATACCTTTGATCGAGCCATTTCTCTGTTTCTCGCCACTCAACCTCACTCTACAAAACAAAATTATAACGACTCCCTTCAATTGATTTTCTGATAAATAAAAAGACAGAGAGGCAAGGGTACTGACTGGTCTAGAAGAGGGATACGCAAGAACGGAGACGATGCCGTTTCCTTTATCGGAAGTAGAACGGAAAACGGTGTGGCCATCAGTGCACGTGCCCCACCATTCAGATGAGTAGAACCAGTCGCCTTCGTCGAGTATACGACGCCGTGTTGCTGTGCAGAGTCGCCGGGTGGAGATCAGCCTAGGTCTGGGCCACATCATCCTCCAAAGAGATACTGATGAGATGGATGATGACAATGACCCTTGAAACTAGACCTCGAATTCGATGAAACTAAAACCCTAAAATCTTACGGAAACGCCAACGGTCCTTAAACCCTCAACATCTGGAAAAGGGGGTTTCTAGTGTTTGGGGAAGGAGAAATTATTAGCGCTGTTCTGTTTTCAGAATGAAGTAATTCGTGGACAAGGCCTGTTTGGGTTCCGTTGGGCTTCAAAGGAGTCACCAACTAAAGTAACAGCAGTTGTTTGGAATGAGAAATTTTTTAAACATTGTCGAAGCACCGTATAAAATTGGGACACCGTTTCTACAGTTTTCTAGCAATGGGCGAGTGTTCTTAATAGTTATTAGACTCCATTTAAAAAGTATATATATTATTAAATTTCTTAAATATTCAAAAATGGTTTCCCAAAAAAAGAAAAAGAAAAAATCAATATAAATATATAAAAGAGATGCATTTAGAAGCTCTAAATTAAAAGTTACTAATTTTAAATCATTTATTAACATAACATGTCAAGCATAACGAGTGTGGTTTATTCTCTTTTTAAAAAGAAAAAAACTCAAACTCTTAAGTTACATCTTTTAAAAACCAATATAAATAAACTCGTTGTTATGAAATAATAAATGAATGTCCATGTACCATTCATATAATAAATAAATATACATAAATATATCATTTATATTATCCTTTGTATTCAATTCACCAACATTATCATACATCTATGTATTTATTCTTTATTAAATCTCTAATTTAGAATTTTGCGTAACATTCACCAATAAATACGTGTGTTGAGTGAATATATATATATATATATATATATATATATATATATTGTTACATCTATATATATTATTATGAAATACCGAATGTTTATATGTTTTTCATATCTTACTACTTATAATTCTTGATGTGATTCAATTTACCATTTAATATAAGAAATTAAAAGGGTGATGTAATTTATTCAACAATTTTATGTATTTTAATTGTTCATAGTCTCTTCCAATTCTCTTTCAAATTTTCAAGCCTATAAATAGGCTTGATTGTTTATTAGTTTGTGTACAAGTATTTTATAAAGATTAAAAGAATAATTTGAAGTTCTCACTTGTGTTCGGTTTATTTTATAGTGAATTCATTTCTCTAGCATCTTTCTCTTCAATTCTATTATTGTTGCTATTTCTTTTATAATACGTTACCAGTACGATTGCTTTATCAAAAGACGTAAATCATCTAAATTATTAAGAGGTATGTATCTAATTTATCTTTTACTTTAAATCTAATGGTACATATAGTTTATATTTAAAAAACTTAAATGATCTACTATATATTCTAATGTATGTTATCCGAAAAGTTTGAATTTTATTATTATATTTGTTTTTATTTTTTAACATTATTATTATATCTTATATTATAGTATTTTATCATTTCAAATCTCTCAAAGCTTGATTTTATGGCCCTTGAAATTTTGAGCAAGAATCATTTATCATGGGTGCTTGATGCTGAAATACATTTAAATGCTAATGGTCTTAGACAAACAATCATATATGATAATCAAGAATCCTTGCAAAGCCGTGTTTAGGCAATGATCTTTCTTCGTCATCATCTCCATGAGAATATGAAAATTGAATATTTAGTAGTAAAGGATCCACTTGAATTGTGAAAAAATTTACAAGAAAGGTACAACCACCAAAAGATGTTCATTCTTCCAAAAACTCATTATGATTGAAAGCATTTAAGATTACAAAATCTCAAAACAATAAGTGAGTATAATTCTATAATATTTGAATCAGTTTTAGACTAAAATTAAGTGAAGAAAATATTATTGATTCGGATATATTAGAGAAATCATTCTATACTTTTCATGCCTTAAATATGCTCATACAAAGCAGTAATATCAAGAAAAAGATTTTAAGAAATACTCGAATTGATTTCATGCCTACTTATTGTTGAATAAAATAACGAGCTACTAATGAAAAATCATGAATTTTGCTCGACTATATCTAATCCATTCCTTGAAGTGAATGTGACATCTTATAATAGTTTTAGACATAAATGAGGACATGGTGGTGGCCATAGACGTGGACGTGGTCGTAGCAATATCTATAGTCGTGATCAAAATAATTATTATTATAATCATGATGGTTATAATAATACACCTCACCACCGAAGTGGCTAAATTATGAAAAGAAACAATAAAAGAATAAAAGTGGATCAAGTTAGAATTTTAAAAATGAATGTCTTAAAAGTGGTATGAAGGGACATTGGTCGTGTACCTATAGTATGCCAAAGCACTTCGTTAAGCTTTATCAAGGCTCATTAAAAAAGAAAAAAATAATATAGAGGCAAATTTTATAGATCAAAATAATGATTACGACAATGTTCTTCTTAAAGGTTTTAGTAATTTGACACTTTTAGATATTGTTGATTTTTTTGAAGATTTTGAAAGAAAATATCATTATATTAATGATAATCATTGAAATTAATATCTTATTACCTTTTCTATTAATAAATAAAGAATTTTTATGTTTCATATAATTTCTATTGCATCATGATAGTTACAATTTTTTTTTATATATTTATTTGTTTGTTTGTTTTGTGTTTATGAAGATTATATGGATACTTCTAAGTTCACAATTGATTTGAAAATTATAGAGGAAAATCTATTCCTTGTAGATAGTGCAACAACATATATTATACATAAAAACAAAAAGTATTTGTCTAATTTAATGATGGACAAGGCTAATGTTAACATTATATTTGGTAATATCAATCTAATTAAAGGCTCGGAAGAGTAAATATATTATTACCTGGAGGGACAAATTTAATTATAAATGATACATTATTCTCTCCTAATTTCCATAAAAAATTTTTAAGTTTCAAAAATATTCGTCTAAATGGATATCATATCGAGTCAACAAATGTTGAGAATATTAAATACCTATATATAATAAAAATTATATTATGTAGAAAATATGTATTGGATAAATTATCTCCTTTTTCTTCGATATTTATTATATAAATATTCAAATGATTGAAACAAAAACCATAGTAAACCGAAGTTTGCTAATTTTTTTTATTCTATGGCATGATCGATTGGGTCATCCTAGACTCATTATGATGCAAAAGATTATTAAAAATTCATATGAACATCAATTGAGAAATCAAAAGTTCTTCAATCTATTAAGTTTTTATGTCCCGTATGTTCTTAAGCAAATTTATTATTAAGCCATCACCAAATAAAATTAGGATTGACTCTCTAGTATTTTTAGAACATATTCAAGGTGATATATGTGGATCATTTCATCCACCATATGGACCATTTGAATATTTTATAGTTTTAATAGTTGCATCTTCAAGATAGTCACATGTATGCTTATTACCAACTCTAAACCCGGCATTTTCAAGGTTACTTACTCAAATAATTCGATTACAAACATAATTTTCATATTATACCATTAAAATAATTGTTCTTGACAATGACGGTGAATTTACCTCTCAAGCATTCAATGATTATTGCATGTTTATTGAAATAAAGATTGAACATCATGTTGCTCATGTTCATGCTCAAAATGGTTTAGCATAATCATTTGTCAAAAGCCTCTAATTGATAGCTAGACCAGTAATTATGAAAACAAAACTCTAGGTTTATGTCTAAAGACATGCAATTTTATATGCAACAATACTTATTCACATCGGACCCACAAATTATCATAAATTTTCTCTCCTTCAATTAGTTTTTAGTCACAAGCCTAATATTTCTCATTTAAGAATTTTTATATGTGCAATATATGTCCCAATTACTCTTTCATAATGAACTAAAATGGGTCCTCATAGGAGACTAGGAATAGATATTGGATATGAATCTCCTTCGTAATTAAATATTTTGAACTATTAACAAATGATGTTTTCATGGCTTGATTTACCAACTATCATTTTAATGAAGAAATTTTTTTAACATTAGGAGGAGAGAATAAATAGAATAAGTAGTTAAAAATATTAGAAAAAGAAATTAAGTAGAATAATTCATCTTTATATCATTTTGATTCTTGCACAAAATAATATAAACTTAAATTTTAGAGGATAATTCATTTACAAAGTATTGTAAACCAACTGCTAGTAAGGATGGCAATGGGGCGGGGCGGCCGAGGATCGCCATCCCCATCCCCGTCCCGCCCTTAAAAAATTTCCTATCCCCGCCCCAAACGCGGATGGGGATCCTCGTGGGGTAAATGGGGTAATTTTTTTTCATCTCTTTTTATCCCATTGTACTTCTAAATTTCAAACTATAGCAAAACAAAATGATAGTTTATATAAAATAAACCCTAAAAGTCACTAATCATAGATTTTATATAGGGTATAATTATAATTTTAATGAAAAAAATAGGGCAAACAGGGCGGGCGAGCAAATCCCATCCCGGCCCCGTCCCCACTAGCGAGGCGTCCCTTCCCTGCCAGGGGGCACCCGCCTCGCCTCATTCCGCGATCAATGAGGGGAATCACCATGTTGACCGAGGAAAATCGAGGCGGGGTCGGGCGGGGCTCGTCGGGATGGGACAAATTGCCATCCCTAACCGCTAGATGCATTCTCTAATCCAAAGAAGGTAACTAAATCACATGTTCTCATTGAGAATGCTCCTATTAGAATCGATGTCTTACAAGAACAACCTATTAATGTTATAATAAATGAATCTAAAGCATGCCTAAAGCATGAAAGATCGATCAATTCTAAAGATAAAAATCTCTCGAAAGAAAAAATTAAAAAATAATCAAGATGAAAATATAAAAGAGGCAAATAAAACAATGCAAGATATTTTTTTATAATAGGCTTCCGAAGAAGCCCAAATGCTTGAGGAAGATAAAAAAAAATTGATAAATTATGTTAATAGAAGAAAAAAATGAAACCGAAAAGAAACATTCATTGATAAATTTTTTTTCATATAATGTTACAATTGATATTTTGAATAAAGATCCTAAGCATAAATCTAT